TGTTTGTGAACGTTGATCGGTGAGCGTTAAAAACCGATATTGTGAGATGTAAACGTTATTCGGGTAAGCATAAAAAAACCCGGTTGTGATAGTGGATTTCTCCCCGGGAGTGAGGAGCGGAGACGTAGGACGGAAGATCCGAACTCCGTGATCATATCATGTGTTTGAGTTTACTTTGGCGCACTTCTTTTATGTTTATATTTCTTATCGTCATTGTCCATTGCTTATTATTTATATCATCCACTATCTTGTTTATTTTATTTACCCTTGTGTATATCACTTATCCTAGCTCACATATCTTGTTGTATTTTATAATTGCTAGGATAACTTGTTAATTAGTTTTAAATAACATAAAATCGGATTTCATTAGCATAAGTCCCTAATCACCCCTCTCTGGGGTCTAACACATTGGACATGTGCTTAAGAGGTTTGGGATGAGTGATGCTAAGGCTGTTAGTATACCTTTGGCTAGTCATTTCAGGTTGACTAGGGAGCAGTGTCCAGTGACTGATGAGGAGAAAGACTATATGGTGAAGGTTCCATATGCTTCAGCCATTGGGAGTCTTATGTATGTCATGGTGTGTACGAGGCCTGACATTACCCATGCAGTGGGAGCTGTGAGCAGATTCATGTCAGATCCAGGAGAACAACATTGGGAAGCAGTAAAGTGGATTCTAAGGTACCTGCGGTGGATAATAGAGAATTTTATATGTTTCAAGAGAGACAAGTTGGGTCTGCAGGGATTTGTTGATACAGATTTTGCTGGTGGGAGAGATTAGAGGAGGAGCACTACGGGGTATGTATTTACATTGGGTACGCCTGCCATCAGTTGGGTCTCTCAGTTGCAAAAGATCGTTGTTTTATCGACTACAGAGGCAGAATATGTTGCTGTGACAGAGGTAAGCAAGGAGATGATATGGTTGTAGAGTTTCTTGGAGGAGTTGGGACAGAAAAATAAGAAGTGTGTCTTGCACTGTGATAGCCATAGCTCTATTCATTTGGCAAAGAACCCACCTTTTCATGCCAGGACTAAGAACATACAAGTTCGTTATCACTTCATAAGGTCAGATTTGGATGATGACGTGTTGGAGCTTGTGAAGATCCAAGGAAGCAAGAACCCAAATGACATGCTTACGAAGACTGTCACTATGGAGAAACTAAAGTTGTGTTCGACTTCAGTTGGTCTCATTACTTGATAATATAGGAGGCCGTCGTCGCAAGGAATGATAATAAAGACTGAAGATGTTGAAGCTTTTCAGTAGCATACTATGGGAAAATTAGTCTCCAAGTGGGAGATTGTTAGGTTATGTGGAGCCTAATTTTCAGACCCAGCCCAATTCGCTTAAGTGATCGAATCGTCAGAACCCCAACTTCTTTTTTATACATGCTAAAATTTCTAGATTATCGAGGATTCATATCCATAATGTTTCCAACCATGCATATGCCCCAACGAGTTCAAGTTATCTAAAATCTTAATCATGGAGAATGCTTACAATTGGTTGCATGCTTATGCTATTGGTTTATTGCAGTGGATCTCACGATTAAAAATTCATTCTAATATAATTTAGATAAATAATATCATTCATCGAGTTCACTGACTGAGAAGATTAGATTTGCGAGTTGTAGAGATTTTGTACAACTAAGAATATAGAGGATCTTTGCCCCACTAGAACCTTAAGTCTAATGAGCCTAGATCCTTTGCAATCTTGATTATAGAGAATGACAATTGGTTAAGTGGACTAATACCATTGGTTTATTTGAATGGATCCTATAATTAAAAGTTTTTATATAATTTAGATAAACAATAAGGAGCCCACTGAATTGAGAAGATATTATTAATGAATTACATAATTTTCTTTATAATTAAAGAAGCATAGGACCTCCAAGCCAGCTTAAATGTCTAATGAACATACAATTCACCTTCTTGTTTGGCGAGCCATATGAAGAGTTTTACCAAATTATCTGTTGCGGACTGGAGCTTTTTTGGGGCCCACAGCCCAGTCGTCCTTGTCGCTAGCTATTGACCTGGTCTTTCAAAATCGTTTAATCAAAAACGTTAGCCTCTGGTGTGTGTATATATGTACGTGTGCTTCTGTCTAGTTTCTCATCGCAAACCAATACCTTCACAAAGTACAAGGGGTTACTCATCTCATCAGAAGGCGAGCGACATGGCGGCAAACGTCTTTGGCAACCCCATCACCGATGAGACTCTGAAAGCAATGCCTGAATACAACAACAAACCAATAACCCGCTGCGATCGTGCACACGAGGCTCTCAATATGATACACGCGGAGAGCAAGGACGTGAACGCCCTCCGATATGTGGAGAATCTGAAGGAGCAGTACGGCGACGGAGTCTCGACGCTCTGCGTGGTCTACAATGCTAGTGGCGATCCTATCACTTTCCAAGATAGCCATGATTGGCACGGCCACCTCTGGAAAGCGCCATACCCGCAATCTCTTTTGAACGGTCAGTGGGGTGCTTTCCTGCACGTCCATCCCTCTGGGGCGATGGCAGGATCGTCGGCCGCTGTCATCTATCGCGGTAAGAATGATGCAGGGAAGGACCATGATTTCATGTTCTCATGGATGAACCCTTGGTGGTCGGGCAGTTGCACGGTATGTGTTTAAGTTATGTTTTTAAAAAATGAAACAATAAAGAAAGAAGAGGAAAACAAAAATAAAATGCTCTGGCTGATTAATTTTAATTCCCCAAAACTCCCTCCACCTCGAGAGTTCTGCACATAACCTCATGGACTTCTTTTATCCGACTGAACTCCTTGACGATTTTACACTTCAACCCTCAGAAGAGCGCATCATCAAGTCTAATCTCGCTTTTTTTTTTCCACATCACATGCATGTCTGAAGCTTGACACGTTAGACTTGGCGGTGTTACCTTGAGTAAAGTGAAACGTAATCTGTAAAAGGTATAAAAGAAGTCCATGGGGGTTATATATGCACAAGACCCCTCAAAGTTAATCGGGTTTTGCACAAGACCCTGCAAGTTGAATGTTTGTATATACGCAGGCCTACACTCTGGTCCGCCCAGCTGGTTACTTCGACAGCGAAATCTCTTGGGACACACTGCAAGACAATACCGATAACGGTAAGCTCCAGTGGACTAATGAAAACGAAGGCTGCAAGTCTTATGTATCAATTGGTAACAACACTACAGCTATTTACGAGGCCAAACTCACTCTGAAATGTGCTGAGGTTTCCAAGTAGACTACAGCTACAAGCATATAAAAATATGTAATAAGCTGCAACAGTACTTAGCAGCCAATTATCAAGTAAGGTCTTATCTAGCTATGGGTGAGACATTGAGAGTCAATAAGCTGCAAGCAAGCTTTAATGGTTTGTGTTGGGTATGTAGTCTTCCTGTCTGTTGAGTTTGGCTTGCGCAATGTGGTAGTCTGTCTTCTGTTATGTATGAGAGTGTTTTATTATATAGTTTCAAGTATGTTATGTGCCAATACAATGTTTCGAAATTCTCTATGCGTCAATGTGCAACCTTGAATTAGAGTATATATTGTCGTCCTTTAAATGTGTCTTGACATAACATTTTTCTCTAGCATCAGATGAATTGGACATACAACTTCTTGTTTCAAAGCTTCTTAAAGAAGTCTTTTTTTAATTAAAAAAAGCAAAATAGGGGGAAATGACCGAATGAACTTATATTAGGGCTTCTGTTAGATAGTTAGATGAAATGGGAAAGTCTCTGCTGTTAAATGACCGAGGGGTAGGGGCGAACAAAAATATTCGTACATGCGTTGGGATATATATATTGTTACTAAAATCTATAACGCGCTAGTAAAAAAACGTAGCATCCCAGACGAAAAAATTTCCATCTAAGATGACGACAATATCGATAGAAAATATCCGTCTACTAGACGGATACTTCCTAGGCAAAATATTTTTAACTATTTTATTAAAAAACATGGGTTCAATCTTCCTAGACGGAAATTTCGGTCTAAAAAGGTAGGACTCATGCAAAGAAAAATAAAACATTCTGTTGCCCTAGTTTTTAAAAATTTGCCCCAAATTCAAAAATTTCCCATCAACCACCACTGCTATCTTATATGAAAACTCGCTCATCACTCTACGCAATCTTCATCCCACCCCCTAAGAAAACAATGGCCTCCTCCTCCCCCATCTCTGTCGTCCTCCTCCTCCTCTCAACCCTAGCTTCCCCTCCGAAACCCGCCGCCAAGAAAACCTACATCGTCCGCATCAACGCCGACTCCAAACCCTCAATCTTCCCCTCCCACTCCCACTGGTACTCCTCGCTCGCCTCCTTAGCAAAATTCTACCACCTAAATTATGTACCCCAACTGCGAGGCCATCCCCTGCTGCGAGCAGTTCGAGGTCGCCTTCCAGGCCATCGAGCTCTGGATCGCCGACCGCGCCGTTCTGCCCGTTGAGAACTCTCTCGACGGTAGCATCCATCGTAATTAAGACCTCCTCCTCCGCCACCGCCTTCACATCGTTGGCGAGGTCCAGTTCTCCGTCCACCACTGCCTCCTAACCCTCCCCGACGTCTGAAAGGAGTACTTAACACGAGTCATTAGCCATCTAGACAGCGACTTCTACGGCTGCTCCTTTACCGTTCGCCTGCAAAGTGCACTACAAGAAATCTGATATTTAGCGACCAAAATTAGTGAAGGGACCGGTTGACCGTCATTAATGAGTATATAATAACGACGGGTTTTAAACCCTTCGTGAAGTGATTTCAAATAATAAAGAAATAATGTGATATGGGATAACGGATTTCTAATCCCTTCGTTGATTTGATCCTACTACCGTCGTTATTGGGTCTCCTTAAAAATAAAGGGGTCCATTACCTTCATTGATGATACTAGTATAAAAATGCTCAGTCTCAAATTCCCAATAGGTGGTTGGAACTGTTAGGGCAACTTTTCGCACCCATCTTTTTACAAAGGAGGGAAATTTCCCTCACCTTTTTAACCCAAAAAAGAAAAAAAATGACAAAAGGCCCCGTGAACCCCATTTCTTCATTCCCCCTCTATCAAAAACCCCCAAATCGCTGCTCCCTTGCCGCCGCCCTCCCTAACCCTAACCCTAACGCCAGCCATGTTGCGCCTCTCTTCATCACTCCTCCCCGTGCTCGCTCCGCCGCCGCCCTCTCGCGGTCCTACGGCCTGATCCCGATGGTGATCGCGCACACCTCCCAGAGCGAGAGCGCCTACGACATCTTCGCCCAACTCCTGAAGGAGCGCGTGGTCTGCATCAACGTCCCCATCTTTGACGACACGACCGCCATCGTCGTGGCCCAGCTCCTCTTCCTCGAGTCGGAGAACCCTCCAAGCCCCTCTTCATAATAGCGCTTGATTTCCTTTGAACCATAACCCTAATTCCCTATGAAGAAATTCCCAATTTCTTCCAGGTTACCTCAAAACCCATACCCTAACTACTGAAATCCCTAGATATCAACAAAAACCCCATCAGAAACAAAACCCTAGTGCTGTTATCTGTTCCGACCTCGTCGGCGCCGGAGATTATTAAGATGGGAAGAAAGATCGGATTGAACCGCGAGATCCTGATCAAAGTCACCCAAACCCCTGATGGTGTGCTTATTTATGGAGGTAAATCCTCATTCTTGCATATGATGTTTGCGATTTTCTATTTGTAGGGCGACATATCACTATCCTGGGGCGAAAATTGAAATTTTATCTCCGTTTCCTTTTTATCTCGGGGTGATTGTTTATGAGAAAATACAGTAGAAATTTGTATCAAAGTAGTTATGAGTGTAACCAGGTCTGGGAGTGTGGGAGATGCTTCTATTTTCTTGGCCTCTGATCGCTATGTGTCGCTCTGCCCCATGATTTTGTTAATCCAGATCGTATTTATCTTACGGAGGATTATTTTGTTTGATAAATTGATAGAGCTAAGTGGGTCAGCGAGACGAGAGCTTATGATTTGAAAGATGGAAGCATTCTGTTCCGTGAGCTCAGGGATTTCTTGCTACGCCGTAAACTTTTGTGTTGGAGGTAACTTCTCATTCCTGCGGGATATTTTGATCTTTATTTACAGAAGATACCGCTATCCTGTTGCAAAGAGTTAAACTGTATCTCTTTTTATTATTATTTTCATTTAGCTATGCTTGATTGTGTATGCGAAATAACAATTCTAAATGTTGTTTCATGCCATTACATGTTGCATCTAAGATTAATCCTTTGTATGCCGTTTTTAAGTGATCTACTTTTGATTTCGTTTCTGATATTTTGAAAGTTAAGGGGGGTTTTCCCATAATTGTGCAAAGTTAAGCGGGTTTTCTGATATTTAGCTTGCAGCTGAACTTCTTTGTGTTAGTTTAGTATTATCGTGTTCCATTTTTTTTGCATTTCTGCTCTAGTTGGTATATATATTTCTTACTTGTAATATTAATTGGTGTGCAAGTAATATGAGCATCCGTTCATTGTTAATTTGCTATGTGCATTTTATTTGTATTTAATCATGTTTTCAGTCAATTTTTGATTGCTTATGCTTATGTTTAGCTGTCATTGTGATTTAATATTCATATGATTGTCATATGATTAAATATTTAACAATTCCAAATTATCTGAATTATTTGTTTGTGGAAAGAAGGCTCAAAATATAGAGGTAAAGTAACATAATATAGCAGCTGAAATAGTGTAGACTCAAGCCATAATTTACATACTTTAACATTGTTTGTTTAGTGAGCTAGGAAATATGATAAAAGAAGTATCTTAAACACTGCCAATTTGAAGATATACTTCAAACTATGTAGTTTGAAATATTGTTGCTCTCAAAATATGGTTTTAGAGTACTGTTTTCAGATCAATTGTGGTGGGATATTCTCCTTTGAAGCTCTCAAAATATGCCTAGAGGTAATTAGTTTTTAGCTTTTTGGTTAGCACTTTGTAGTTCTAATCAATGTTTTGAGGTTTTGAAAATTGGGTTTGGTTGTTATAGCTGATAACCCAGACGATTTCAAATGCGAGACATATGTCCAAAAGAAAGATTTTAGATAATTTATCGAATTGATGTAGAAATCTGCATTGTTGGGGTTGTTGCCTGTTATAACTCATAAAGTTTTACTAGATCTTTCTCTTACCTTGTCATTTTTTGCACCATGGTGTATTGCATGTGCACATCCAGGTATTCATATGTATTTTGATTTATCATATATGTACATGTAACGATACAACATACAACATATGTATGTTAATTATACATGTATATATGTTCTGTGTATAGACTATTATTTTAGGTTTTCAATCTTAATTAACAATAACAAATGGAAACTACATAGTACCTTTCTTACAGTTGTTGTCATGTTAGCTGGAATTTCTTTGATTTGAATTCATATTCTTGGATTATTAATCCAAACTGAATTTTGTTTGATTAATGAATATTTTGCCTTGTCTAGTTTTTTTTATGTTGTTGTCATGTTACCTGGTAAAAATGTTCCTTACATTAAACGTAGTTTTTCTTCTACAGAACTTTATAAAACTACCCTTGTCAATTTGAAAATCTGTTCCCTTTGTATGTTACATCATGCTAACATTATTTTGGGAATTTGTTTTCTGATCCATGTTATTGGTTTTTTTTCCCTGTAGGAGATGTATATGCATTTTGGTTCTCAATTTTGCGAAGAACTGCAGCGACAATATTTTCCTTCATCAATGGTAAAACCTCAAGGACCACCGAGATAAGGATCACTTTCCTTCATGATGCTGACTGAAAGGAGATTTGATAGATCCATTAAGGATGTATGAGTTAGAGTCACAAGTGAAAGTTATGCAAGAACTTTTTTTTAGGCAATCACCTTCATTGACTCCTCAAACTCGAGAACATGTGCAGGACTAGGTAATTATTTTTTTTAAATTCTCTTGTATACTTTTATGAACGACTATTTGCACTAAAAAATATAATTTACTTAATAAGATAATATTTTCTTAATTAATATTTTTTAATTATGTGTTTTTTTAATTTTCCAGGCTATCCATGCAAGATTAGGAGGGGGTAGCTCGAGTCTTCTTTTGACGATGATTAGAGATGAAAGAATGTGTCTTCCCCAAACTTTTATTTTAATTTGTTTTAGATAGTTTCATCTATTTTTCTTTGGAACAATTAGGATATTAATTCTTGTTATTAGTATTGAATATTTGATGATGGTAAAATTTATTTATTGATGTTATTAATGAATGGAATTTTTATTTTCCCTCTTATTCATTATTGGGTATTTTTAATATATTTTTGTTGTGAATCTCAGTGCCAGGTTGAGAATAATCTGATAGTTGTCTATGAATGGAAAAATTATTATTAATGTATATTAGAAATTTGTAATCTACAATGACGGTTTTAAAAATCGTATTTTGTTAATTAAGGGAAAGCACCGTCGTTGATGGGTTACTAATTACCAATTATGATGACTTTTACGACGGTATCCAATCGTCATTAATTACTCTTTAACGATGGGAAAATATTCCCGTAACTAATAGTAATGATGGGAAAATATCCCCGTAACTAATAGTAACGACGGGAAAATATCCCGTCATTGATGGTAACGACGGGAAAATATCCTGTCACTGATGGTAACAACGGTGATAATTACCGTCGTAAATATTAACGACGGTAATATATTTCGTCGTTATAGACTCTACAACGACGGGTAGTATATCCCTTCGTGACCCTTTAGCGAAGAGGGCTTCAATGACGGGTGACGAAGGGATTTTTCCCCATCGTTAGCATACAATAACGAAGGTTTTCAGTTCTTTAACGAAGGGAAATCCCTTCGTTAAATACGTAATTTCTTGTAGTGGTGGCTGTGACGGCTGCTGATTGAAGTTACTCGATGGAGGTGAAATCGCTGTTCAGGAGGATTGGGTGGAGTCTTTAGTTATTGAACTGGATCAGCTAGGTAATGCTTCTTTGATGGAATTTGTAGAATACAACCCCTCTACACAAAGAAAACTTTTATTGATAGAACACTAGAGAATACACTTGCTCTTACAAGAACACCTCACTTTCACACAACTCTTTTACTTTTATTTTTTTTTGTGGACACTCCCACAAGTGTACACTACACACTCAAACTCTCAAGCTCACTTCTTGTTTGCTTGCTTACCAAATGAGAGTTCAAGACCCCTATTTATAGTTGTTTAAGAGTGTGTGGAAGAGTCAATCCTAGACATACATTACTAAGAAGTTTATAGAAAAATAAATACTAGCCAAACACTTGTATCTTACTAGAACTTCTTGGTGATATTTTGTAGGATGTTACTAGAAAGGAGTTCTAGAAAGTTGTTCTGAAACAATCTAAGTTGGTGAGGAATTCTAACACTCCTCCTCATCACCAACTTTCATTTCTCACAAGTCCAAGCTTCTTCTTAAGCTTCAAAAATGTTTCTGTCTTAGTGGATTGGTGAAGATGTCAGCGATTTGGTCTTCAGACTTGCAACATGTCAGCATCACAGTCTTTTTTTAACTTGATATCTGATGAAATAATATCTTGTCTCTATGTGTTTGCCCCGTTCTGTAGGCGTAAAAATTGCCATAGGTTCCTGCACGCAGCTCGAGATAGAGAAAGATGATGAACGTTATATCCAAGTCAAAAAAGATTACCTGATGATGTGTAGCGAAGCTAACAAGCGCATGAAGCGATTTGGCAAAGCATACGAGTCAATGAGATGGCAAAATAATGTAGAAACGACTTGACCGAGAGTTACATTTCACCCACAAAGAATGAAGAACCACTCATGTCTCGCTTACTCCATGTGTATTTTGCCTATAAGAAGTTGTAATCTCTCCTCTAGCTTTCCAACGCATCTCGAATCACTTTATTTTGAGATCGGATGAGAGAGTTAGAGACAAAATAACAGAGAGACACTAGTCGTGTCTCGTCCAAGCCTGATAGAGCTATTTTGCCTATTGGATTTTTTAGATCTCTTCGTCAAATTTCCAATGCATCTTGGATCACCTCATTCCGAGATCGAACAAGAAAGTTAGAGCACCGAGACAGTCCAAGCTATTTCACATCTGTAGGACACCGATGATGTCTCACATATTTTGGTCATGATACAATTCGAATCTGAAGAATCTCAAAAGACAAAAGTTGTAGATCTCTTCTCTGAAATTTCAACGCATCTTGAATCGTTTTATTCTAAGATCGGACAAAATAATTAGAGGTAAAATAACAGAGAAAGCCAACGGCATCTCCCCTAATGGGTGAGACACCAATGGTGTCTCGCACCAAGGGCGAGACACCAGCGATGTCTCTTGCCCGGTAAAGCTATATTTGCCTGTATAACCTCTCAAAAACCTATTAAGATTTTAGGATTCCTTCAGTCCAGAGCCTCTCCAAATAATTTGAGGCTATCTTTGAACGTGGTTAAGTGGTTATAACTAAAGATGAGATTAAATCATCCATTCTTATCTAAAACAGAGCTTCTAAAGCCTATAAATACAGCCCAATGGCTCCTATACACGAGAGATCAGGAATTTGGAGCTATCGGTGAAGCCCTATCATTTTGAACAGCAGAGGAAGAGAGATTTACGAGTTCTTTAGCATAAGGAGGAGGAGTTAGGCATATCTGCAACCATTCAGCACTCGTTATCTGCTTCCCTTGAGAATAAACTTTGATTTGATCTCGAGAAGAGTGTTTGCCTCACCTTGCTGAGTCATTCACTTTAATTTCTTGTTTCCTTTGCGAGACAACAAAATCAACCGGATCTAATCCGTGATGATCCATGGATAAACCTCGACACAGGCAAAGACCCTATGCAAGCAGCGGGTGATAAACGCCCTCTGTGTGTATTTCTAAGGAATTGTTGATCTATTTCTTTTGTGTAAAGAAGTCTTATAAAAAGACTCATCTTTTTTGAATCTGTAAAAGTTGATAAATAATTATAATGAATTCCACTAAGAAATTAATTTCCGATGCAAACACGCTGGCGACCACAGTGGGAGGCAACAACCTCACTGACGAGGTTGTCGTGTTACAACCGTTGATCATGATTTCGGTTAATGTAGATGTCGAGTATGAGTTCGACCAGTAGAAATTCGAGGAGTACATCTCATCCTCCTCCTCCAGATCCTCCTCTTCTCACAAGCGTAGGAAGACCTCTTTGTTGAAGAAGGTTTGTTGGTCTTCGGATCTGAAGACACAAAGCATTGATTCTCACCCTATCACCTCTCCGGCACCTAAGCAGGCCAGATTTGATGCTGAGAATAACTCCTCATCAATCAAGGAGTTGCCTGTTGAAGCTATGCCAACTCTGACGAAGAGGGCTTGTCAGAGGCAGCGCCAACATCTTTCCCGTCAGTTCGTCAAAGCTCTGGTGCAGGTGGATGGACTCCGCTATCAAACAGACTTAGAATTCAGGAGGCGCTAAATGACTAAGCTACCACCACAGCAAGCAATGGACTCCTCAACCAACAAGTGGGTCTATATCAAACGAGCTTGTTTGACCCTTGAGGAGCGCAACCAGAAGCACCGCGTACTTCTTGTGCATGCACGGATTTTCGTGCAGAAGGCACAGGAGTTACAGAAGGAAGAGGCGGCCAAAGAATCACCAAAATATAAACAAGTATTAGTGCCAAAGGCCAAAACAATGTCGAAAACATCCGAAACACCACCAAATCTAAACCAGGTGTGTTTCACACCTGGTCTCAGCTCCGCACGTGCTTCTCAGCCTCCGACAGCCCCTAATCCTGCTCTATCTGATCCTGTACCTCTAGTTAAGCCTCATGGCAGCATGGACCTGTCCAAATTCAAAATGAAGATGGAAGATCGTGTTGGTCCTATACATGAAGATCGAGGCAAAATTCTAGTGAAAGAACGCTTGGGTCCGGTGAACGAATCCCAAGTGACTATTCAGGCTGGGGGTCGTACAAGTCCTCCTAACAAATCGAAGCTATCCCATATCAGGAAAACACCTGTAACCTCCTGCTTCTCTACATGAAGATCGAGGCAAAATTCTAGTGAAAGAACGCTTGGGTCCGGTGAACGAATCCCAAGTGACTATTCAGGCTGGGGGTCGTACAAGTCCTCCTAACAAATCGAAGCTATCCCATATCAGGAAAACACCTGTAACCTCCTGCTTAGGGTTGCGTATCCAGGTTCAAGAGCCTGTTCAAATTCCACACTCGCAAGGGGGTGTATCTAAATGTGCGACTCCTAAGAACGCTAACAAGGAGTTACATCCCCGAAAGGAGACGTGTTCGTTACATGACAATGTCATATCTGGGGAATCAAGTCCAGAGCTGATAGGTAGCTCCAGACACAACACCGATGAGTTGTACTATAAGGCTAGGGGTGCGAGAAAATCTCGAAAGAGAAGTATCTAGGAATTGAACTCTCATTGTCCGTGTGAAAAGTTAATTAGGGTAGTATTATTAGCATATAGCTGCCCCAGGACTACTCCATGAAGGGTCTCGGTATTCCAAAGGCTTCCCTCTGAAGGGTTGAAACCTAAGTTAAGGCATTTTCTTAAAAAAATCAACTGATCAAGAGGACAAATTCCCTGAAGTCACTATCAAAATGGTTGACAAAGTAAAGTCAGCGATTGCCTTGAACCGTTCTAATTTTGACTTTTCTCTGGAAAGAAAAGTTAATTCAGGAATAGCCCAACGAATATTTTGGCTCTAGCTAGAAGTC